CCCTACAAGAGATTGGGATTCGCCAGCAAGGGGACGACCCACCGTGCCAGAGTGGTACGGCCCAAAGGAATCGCCAGAAAGAACTGGGTCAGGGACAGCGTACTGAGAGGAACTGTGACAGGACAGACGTCCGGGAGAAGACGTCAGCCGCAACGGAAATGCAGCGAGGGCATAAGAAACCAAGATGTAGAGGAACTGCTACGCCTGAGAAAGAAAGAAGAGAGCAAACCAGATGTTCGGCGAGTTGCGGAGAAACTCGACGTTGTTGAGGTATCAACGTCTTCCGGAACGACAAAACAAGGATTGGACACTGTGGAGGGGTGGACCCCTCCAAAACGAAAGAAAGGAAACGGCCCATATGGGAGGAACTGGTAACGTAGGAGTACCGGCCTCCCCCGCAAGGGTGAATGAAGAAAGAATGAAAGTGAAGAATGAATGCGAGACAATGGGACCAACAACCGCTAAACCTTGGAAGTGCTCGGGGCGAGCACTCTGGAAGAAAGGGGGTGGATGGAAGGAAGGCAAAACACCGAAGAAAAGGCGGAGGTAACACGCGGAAGATGAACACCTTAGGAAACGAAACCAAGGATGCACCGTTAGGCTGTTCGGGATGAACAACCTTTAGAAGGGAGCAATGTAACGTGTTTGGAGTAGATACTTCCATGGTAACGCAATAAAAGTGGGCCGTTTCATAGGAATTGCAGAATCAACAAAGCACCGTCTCCCCAGAGATGAACAACAGAAGGCCGTTGAGTAACAACAGATGAGCTGAAACTTGTTACCAGTGTATAAGGAGAGTTCTTGAAGCAAGGGATTGCCAAACACATGAGATCGAACCTTGGAAAGGGGGTGTCCTCTACTGAGTCCGCAGAACACCTACATAAGCCGAGAGCTACAGACAGCAAGAATACAGTTGGAACCTAGTCGCCATACAATACAGACAGCAGACAGTTGGGATCCAGCCACGGTCAGGGACAGTTGGAAGATAGCCGCCATAGAATACAGTTGAAGTGATAACAATTGTATGGTGTGTAAGAGTGAATGTTCAATAAATATTCGCTAAATCCGAGACCCACGTAGAGTTATTTGTCGTGTGACATACCCAACACCTGACAATATATTACTATCTCATCACCAAAATGCAGGGCAAAATCATGACATAAAGATAGGAAACAGATGTTTTGAAAATGTGGCACAGTTCAGATATTTGGGAACAATGATAACAGCTCGAAACCTGACTCAGGAGGAAATTAAGAGGCGATTGAACTCGAGTAATGCTTGCTATTATTCAGTCCAGAACCTTTTGTCTTCTCGTCCGTTGTCCAAAAACATAAAAATTAGAATATACAAAACTATAATTTTGCCTGTGGTTCTGTATGGATGTGAAACTTGGTCTCTGACATTAAGGGAGGAGCATAGACTGAGGGTGTTTGAGAACAGGGTGTTGAGGAGAATATTTGAATGGAAGAGAGATGAAGTGACAGGAGGTTAGAGAAAACTGCATAATGAGGAGCTTCATAACTTGTACTCTTCTCCGAGTATAATTAGAATGATCAAATCAAGGAGGATGAGGTGGGCAGGGCATGTAGCAGGACTGGGGGAGAAGAGGAATGCATATAGAATATTGGTGGAAAAGCCAGAAGGAAATAGACCACTAGGAAAACCAAGGCATAGGTGGGTGGACAATATTAAAATGATTCTTAGAGAGATAGGATGGGATTGTATGAATTGGATTTGTGTGGCTCAGGATAGGGACTAGTGGAGGGCTCTTGTGAACATGGTAATGAACCTTCGGGTTCCATAAAATGCTGGGAAATTCTTGAGTAGCTGCAGAATTGGCAGCTCCTCCAGAAGGGCTCAGCTACATGTGTAAGTAAGTAAGTAAGTATGAATGTATAGAAATTCAATGCAAAGTAGCAGATTTTAGAAGGAATAATGAAATAAATACTGTAAATAATCTTTTATAACATACAAAATTCAAGTACGTTTTGAATGAAGAGCAACATTTCAATTTGCAACGTTTTCTGGAATAAAAATATTTCCCAACAAAAGTGTGCCCTGTGATATTTTCACTATAAATTTCTTGGATCTTGGAGCTTCAGACGTTTTGCTATATTTTGTCACCAGGAAAGTAAAAACTAACTTGTTCTAACTTTTTATGTTAATGTCTCGAGCCATTGTTTTGTTGGCTTAAATATTACAAAATAAACATTGTGACAAAAGACATTTTCTTCACTTCCATTACAAGAATTAGTACCTGAAGAACCTGAACCTTCATGAAGAGTTCATTATCTTCATAAATTGGAAACCCAAATGGATAACAGAAACATGTTGCCCCATGCAGTGTTGATAATATGGGGGGGAGGTGTAGGATATATGTACAAGAATGAATGGTAATGAAAATAGTGTGTGTAGTGTAGGTTAGTCAAAATTCATGAAGTGCAGTTAAATATGAAGGATGTTACCAAAATTTGTCATATAACAGCATCCAGTAATGGAGGCCTATCCAATGCTGTAAAGTAAAGTAAGTAAGTACTTTTTTTTTACTTTACTTTGTAATGAGGGGAGTAGATGAAGTTCCCCCTTTATGTCAGAACCACTTGATTAAGGTGTAAAGGAATCATAGGGTTAACATCTCTATGTGTTCTAAACCTTGGAATTTGATGGAAGTGAATGGTTTGCTTCACACTGTGATTGCTTGAAGCCTGGGGAAAGAGCCCATAGTGTCTAATGAACCTAAGAGCCATTCTGAACACAGTAGGCTGAAGGGAAAAGTCTCTGCTGGGATATATGTCCTGACAGTCCTTCATATAGGATGTCAAAAAAGTGAAATTAACCGGCAGAAATAAGAATAATGAACAGCTCAGAAGGAATATATTTTAATTATAGCATTGCTATCCCATTTCTATAGATGGAATACATTTTTTACACATATATTAAACAATGTTATGACCCCAGTGTGTAGACAGCACTTCCTGCAGTCCTCACCTTGCATGCAGAGATTTATATCTGCCCCCTTCTCTAAGAAAGTAGAATAATGCCTTTAGTTTTCTGTTATGATAATGTGAGGATATAGTTGGTTGTTATTGCAGTTATTTTACAGCCATTAAGAATACATACCAGTGAGTGAGATATAGCATGGTTATTGCACATGATAAGTGTGGAGGAATGTGGAAGAATGTGGTTGTGACTAGGTACCATTGTGACCAGATATTGTTCAGGTACTATCCCAGCATGTCTGGAAGGACCAAGGAAGATCTTGGAGAACATTAGCTGGTCCTCAGCTGTTAAAAATATGAAACAACTATGTGTATGTGGATCTATACGTCCACTCCCCCATATGCCTTCATGGCATAATGCTTAATTAGTTAAGCACAAGGACAACTTTACCATACCTTACCAACTGTGTATGTTTATTGAAATGTTAGATTATGACACAAGTCAAATAGCAGTTGAAATATTTTAGTGTCGTATAAAAGTTTGATATAATAAGCCTCACACCAACAGTCAACTCCCTGCTGGAATTATATTTTAAATTCTTAAATAATTTATTTGATAAAATTATATGCTTAGAAGTATTTTCTGGAATTTGGTTACCTCAAGCATTCACATGACTGACTATGAAGCCAACAATCATTAACATAAAATGTAATAAGTTACAGTCCCTCATGTACTGAATGTCTGATACATTCACTGTCTTACTGAAGTCTTTGTATTTTAGTTTACAAGTATGTGTAGGAAATGGATTCCAGCTATCATTTTTTATGGATAATGTACATTTTGATACTTTTTGACATTTGAGGTGAAATTCTGTCTTTATTAGATCATTCAATAGGGGAATATTTTATATCCTTATGAAAAGTTACACATGGAAGAACTCTTTTAAGACAAAAATATAATTTCATAAATTCTTCCTAAAATTCTGTACGTAAATTGATTGTGTTCTTGATCATTCCTTTGAATTAGCATGGGAAAGGTCACATACTGCATAATTCATACATTAATAATAACAGCATATCACCTAAATCTCAAAGTTCTTTAATCAAGATTAGATTTGCTGCAAAGAAATTGTGTTTAGTGACTGTTGATCTGTCAGAGCATGTATGTATTTCCATAGCATAAATATGATCCAATCCAATAATTTGTTGCTTTAAGCATGCCCTACATACCATGTAGGTTAATGCTTGTCAAGTTTTCTTTCTATTGTGCTCATGCATATGCTATTATTGAGAAGCAAGAACCAATAATCGGCGAAGGCAAGTGCTTATAGAACCCCTTCCTCTCCAGTTGGTGGAGTAACACTCCTTCATGTCTCTGTTTACAATAAACCCAGCATCTTGTAATGACAGTGTTACTCTTTTCTGTTAAATGCATGATTTTGTTGTATCTTTATCCTTACCCCCAGCTCAGAAGTATGTTAATTGCTATGTAATTTACATGAATGATCTGAAAATACATGTGCTTAACAACACACACATATGTATATATTATACACTTTATGCAGTAATTTTCTAAAATAGCAATAATTTGGATCTCTTTAGATTTAGTACAGGTTTTCTTGGGGAAGACTTGCATGTGGTATTATTTTTAAAACATATCGTGATCAAGATTTTGTTTGAAGAAAAAGAGATATATAAAATTATACTTGATATTTTAATGCAAATGTATCAGTTATGTCAATAAATACATTGAAATATTCGTGACAATTGGTAACCCATCTTGTGGAAATCAAGTTTAACTGCATATGGACATAAGTTTAGAACAGAATGCCCATTTTTGTAATTTTATTATTTTTTTTTTTTTTACTCACAGAATCTTATTTGCAAAAGTTACGACAGTAATCATCAACTCATTTTTGATACCGTATATGGCATAAATTAAAAAATTACTAACGATTTTAGTTACATGGAATGTACAAACTTCCCTCCATTACTGAAAAATGTACATGGAGTAATCTCATCACTTGCCTTCACCGAGTGTGTGGTTATTGTTTCTTGCAGCACGTGGCGCTGGTCGCAGCGGCACAAGCCACTCAAGCAGTGAAGCTCATATTGATCCTGAGAACCAGCATCATGCCCATACTGAGAAAACTGCACCAGGCCGCCAAGGAGAAGGGGAGGGGGGTATGGAAAACCCATCAGTCAATCACAACATCAGCTCTGAGTATATCAATGGCAACAATCCACAGGATGCAAAGAAGAATGACAAGGACACACCTGTTTAAGAGATATGTTTTCAAAGTTTGGGCAAAGGCAATGGATTTTAATATGATGGCATGCTGATTTTGTAACCTGTAATTCTGCAGAAGTTGACGAGGGCTTATAAAAGCAGTTTGAAAATAGTTAGAGACTATAGGTTTAGTATACAGACATGGATATTGTACGTAATAAATACAAATCTTTTGTCCTAGATTCCATAAGGATGCACATTATTTAACAGTGATTTTCTTTGGATTACTGATTCTTATTTTACAGTTATTATTGCAATTTTTAGTGAAGTTTTTATTTTGGTTAATTTTTCCATAACAAAGGCGTTATAAACTAACACATTCACTAACCAATGTGTAAGTGCCACTTTAAACCTGTGGGCCAAGCAACCATGCCAAAACATTTTTTTTATTTTAAAAACTAATGATTCTGTTTCAGTTCCTAAAAGCTTTTATTATGATCTGTGAAAGTTTTATGGCCATCAGATGACAGATGGAAAATCATAATAATTTTTATGATCTTCTCTAATGTCACCTTTGTTGGTACTGTGAGCATGCCTGCTTAAGAGGCAGTGAGAATGTTAGTTTATAAACCAGAGTATGAACAATAAATATTTTAACTTCTCTTAGAATACTTCTCATATTAGATATTGGACATACTGTATTTTAGTTTTGTTGAACAAGGTTACAGAATCAGTTGTCCTTCAGCAAATGTTTGGCATTATTCTGGACTACACTGAAATTCAAATATCTAGGGTCCTTCTGAGAAAGGATGTGTAATCTCAGTTTTTAGTGTTGTGAAACGGACCCTTCGTATTACAAGAAACAGACATAATGTGAATCATAATACCAAATGTATATGTGTGCGTGTTGAACTCTCAGTGCGGTATGTCAGTTTGCGTACACAGTTTCTATCATGGCAGCTAAACTCAACTCACAGTCTCATCTCCTGATTGTTTGAGTGAGGCTTGTTTGTTCACTTTTGATGTGTAATAACAGTTTGTATGTAACATACTTGTTCATAGCATCATGATATTTTTGTATGTGTAAATGCCTGTTTGATAAGAATAATGAGGCTCGAGGACATCCTTTGTGGTTTAGCTGGCACTGCTCAACCAACTCCCAGTACTATTTCATTGTTATGGGTCCTCAGAAGTTATCCATTTGTTTCAACGGTAACAATCAGAAAATACTTTACTGTGATTAGAGCTAGCCATTTAGAGTAAATGTCTGTGTTGGTATTGTCTCTGGGAGATGTTTTAAAAATTCAGTATAAAACAATTAGGTTTCCTTATACAGATTCATAAATTACCATTTGCTCATGTCTTACTCTACTAAGTCTTCTTTCCTTAATTAAATTTTCTAGGAGGAAATTGTATTCATGTGATCCCAGACATTTCAATTGGGGTTTGTATTACATGAGCAGTCATAAAAGAACAGTTAATCAGTAATTCAACATATGACATTGAAATCTAAACATGTTAATGAATTTTTATTTCTTAAGTCATGAACTATAATTTTGTGAAACTCCTGAGTCATGAAGCAGTCAAGCTATGGAAATTGTATTTATTTGGGTGTCCAAATTAAGGAGATGGGATTAGCAGGGCATGTAGTAATCATTGGGAAATTGGTGTGATGTGGACTGGATTTATCTGTCTTAGAGTATGGACCATTGGTGCTATATTGTGTTGGGATATTCGTGATTGGCTGACTGACTGGTGGCTTCTCATGAAGGACTCAGCTCCATGGAGTTGGTTTAGTTAGTTGTCATAGGTTGTGTTAGTACTTGAGTTGTTTTCCGCTTAGTTATGAGGTTTTTTGCATATTCACATAACAAGACCTCTGAAGTCTGTTTTATCACATGTAAGGGTTTACATTATGAATGGAAGACATGTTGGGTTATCAGTCGGGTATAACTAAGTGACTAATTGCATGGAGCTAAATCTATCTTCAGAAGCCATCAGCTGCTCAACCACTCAAGAATTTTCCAACAATTTATGGAACCTGATGATTTATTTCCATGTTAACAAGAAGCCATCACTGACCCAGGTGAATGCAGTCCATAATCCCCATCCTATTATCTAAGATCAATTTTAATATTATCCTCCCATATACATCTAGGTCTTCCCAGTGGTTTCTTTCCTTCTGGTTTTCCCCTTGAAACCCTGGATGCACTCCTCTTCTCTCCCATGCCTTTTTCATGCCCCATCAATCTCACCCTCCTTGATTTGATCATTCCAATCGCATTTGCCAAGGAGTGCAAAAACAAAGCTCACCATTATGTAGTTTTTTTCCAGACTCCTATTATATCATCCCTCATGGGTTAAAATGTTCCCCTCAACACCTTGTTTTCAGACACCCTTAGTCTGTGTTTACCCCTATACCGAATTACAGGTTTAATTATAGTAAACTTTTCAATGTTAGCTATCTTTAGGTTATGATTTGTCCTGTATTCTGGTGATAAGACACCTTTACATACTTAGTTTACTCTGTATTTACTTCTAGACCAATTTCATTTATCAATTACAGTGAAAATTTTGGGTTCTCCCCCTGTTTTGTTGTTATTGAGGTAGGAATTGTAACAAATCTAGCATAAAAATTGTCTTACATGATGCTGTATAATATGAAGTTTTATGTAAATTGTAAGTTGATATAAAATCTACTGGGAGAAACATACAAATATCATGGTTATATAGGGAGGTCTGTCTGTTTTTATATTTCTTTCATATTCTTGTTTTGGTGTGAGTTTCCATCAGTTTACTGATTGTAAATTGGAATTCACTTCATTATGCATGAGAGATTTGTATATCTGGCATATAATGGTGATACTGTCCTTGACCCTCATTGCTTTCACTCTGAGCAACAAGGCAGCCAACAATGAGGAAAGATACAATATGTAAATCAAAGTAACAAAGATGTTACTGTGTGCATAGCAACACTGCATCAACACTGCCTCACAAATTCTGGATTTATGTTGGAAATAGGAAACTGAGTGAACAACTCTAGAAGAGGAGCAGAAGAATGTATTGTGTGTGTTTTTGTGTGCTTACACTACGTGTGCAAGTTCTCAAGAAATGTTTCTAGTATCCAATATGTGACATGTGGTTCCTGGCCATGTGTGTTTTCTCTTGTGTAAAGATTCAGAAATATGTTGCATTTGCACATGGTAATTTAATGACAAATATAATAACTATTCTCCCTTTTTAAGAGCAGGAACAGTGGTGTGGTAAAATGATATCTCACCAAAGCTTTTATGTGTTGTTATAACTTCTGTAACAGTTCAATTGCTGGAATTATAAGGGTTAAACATAGTTGAGACAAGGGATTCAGAAACAGAAATTTGATATGGCTGCATAATGAACAAGAAAATATGATGTGGCCATATTCAGTAATATGTAACTGATGTTCTGAAATATACAAGGAGCTTCAGTCGTTGAACATGTAAAAGGTTATTTAGGTGTTGACTTCATTTAAGATTCACAGAAGAAAAGGAAGAAAAATTGAACTTACACTTCATAGAAAGTATGATTACTTTGGACATTCTATTCTTGAAAATAGCTGGTGGCCACTCTTGAGAATGACTAGTTTAGACTGCCTTGCCAAGGAAGTTTAACTGTGACATCTGGTCAGACCAGGGGCATGCTGGAGCTGGTTCACACAGATTCAGATCAGCTGGTGTATAGAAATTTAATACATGTTAAAAAATGCCCTGGAATTATGCCCATCCCAGCCAGATGCTATAAAGCAAGTGCGCCATTTGGAGTGGTGACCTTGGTGACATTGCATTACATTACATTACGTTACATTCATTTTTAAAGCCAACAGGCTAGTAGTACAGGGTTACAACAAATGATTCATTCCATTTTAGAACACTATATTTTTCAAAGTATTACACATACAAACATAACTGATACAGGAAAAGAACCGCAAACTCGCCAAGTTTGCATCATGGTACAGCAGTTGGCAGCATGAGTGTAGTGCCTCAGAAAATGGCGACGAAGCTGGAAAAGAGTTTCTGTGTGGTGGAATATGCGAAATGTAAGTCTGTTATTGCAGTGCAGCGTGCGTTCAGAGAAGAGCACGGAAAAGAACCACCATGTAAACAGAGCATTCTGTGGTAGTATCGGCATTTTAAGGATACTGGTTGCCTGTGTAAACTGAAAAGCATGGGGCGACCAAGAGTGTCAGATGAAACAGTGGGGAGAGTGAGGGAGAGTTTCACGCGCAGTCCACAAAAATCAACTGCCAATGCAAGCCGCGAACTTGGAATCCCGCAACAAACAATTTGGAAGATTCTGCAATGGCTGTTAAAATTCAAACCTTACCATAAGTTTATGGTTCTTTTCATGTATCAGTCATATTGTATGTATAATACTTTGGAAAATATATTGTTTTGAAATTGAATGAATAATTGTAGTAACCCAGTATAATGCATGTACTACATATGTACATGTCTCTGTGGCCTTTTCCATTGTGGAAAGTAGGCTGTTAAACAAATGTCGACTGGTAACTGAGCATGTGAAGTTGTAGTTAAAACTATGGCAGCACATCCCTGTGTCAGGCCATTGTCACATCTTCTAAGTACTCAGAATGATAAATAAATTGAATGAGACATTTACAATATTCTTGAAAGAAAGAGGAAAATAGTAAATCAAGTTATAGAAGTGGCTTTTCAGATGATACCGAAACAAAGGTTGTTCCCTTTCAGTTATGTTGAGTAGGAAGTTTGCTACAGTATATGTGTGTTCATTATGATGTTTTATATGTTTCCAACATTCCACCAAGTCATTGTGATATTATGAAACTGTGTAGGGTGATCTCAGTGCTTGTGTGATGCATACTGCAGGCAGCTCATTGTCAGTTTGGCATTGAACAAATGAATTATATATTCTCATAACTTTGTCAGAAATTTTAGTAAATTTTTTATCATAAACTTTTTTGATATGATATATGTGTTATATTATTTAACAATACTTTAAAGCAGTTGTCTGGCTAGCAGAGGTCACTTTTTTTGTGGCAGAGAATTAGTCTTTTCTATTCCACTGTTGGAGTATGCCCACCCTTGCTGAGTTCTTGTCACACTTTCAAGTCAGGCAGTGACTGACATCTTTCTTTCCTTCCTGTTACTCATTTGTGATTAGTGTAAAGCCTTCATGCCAGTAAAAGATAGGTTCTGCCCTCTATTTTCTATGTTACTGATTATGTACTGTTATCCTTGATTGTTTCTGGTTGACAAAATTTTGTATGCAAAAAATGCTAATATAAGTAAATGATCTTTGGTACAAAGCTCCCATTTCCTACCTCAGACAAAATGAGGTCTGTAAACCCTGTCTTCTTGCTGTTGTTCTCATCCTGTCATTGAGAATATAAGAAACTGCACTATGGGCACTCCAACCTCAGAAATGAATTTCTTTTACTTACTGAGTTGTCAGGGGCTAGTTCATGAGATGTTTGTCACAACAACAATGACAGCAGTAGAAAATGTACACGCAAAAATGAGAAGGGTGGAAAGGGTAAAAATTGTAACTATTGTAACTATTTCTAATAAATCTTCAGTAGCATGTCCAAGGTTTTAAATAATTACCACTAATATTTATGGTTATATTTCTGTAAGATCACACATGGTTTCAAACACATATTTTGAATGAAGTTGTTTGTGATTTTAATTATGTAAAACATATGTTCTTATGTTTGTTTCCTGCTCTGAGATAAAGACAAGTATAAACTTGCGATAAACAATGCAAAACCCAGTCATTCCCTTATAACTGAAACATAAATGCCATTGCAACATTCTCATACATTTATTTGGTGTCTCATCTGTCACATAAATGTCATGACAGTATTAAATTTCTTGTTCACATGTAATTAACAATAGCTAAATTTTGCACAGTGTAGAATTTATTGCTTATCATATTGGCATTTAATGCTGTAACCACATTCCAATTTATTTTGCATCTATTGACAATATATGCATTGTTTACAATGTTGACAATCAAGTCTCCTGTTCCTTATTACCTTAACTTTTCAACTGCTACATCATGGGCCATTGTATTCTGTCACCATATTTGAAATTCTGCAGGCTTTTAGTTTGCAGTGACAATAATTCCTTTGCAGTTTTCAGGCATGCAACAAATTATGATATATCTTTTTCCCATACCATCAGGATGTGGTATAGCTTCAAAATAGTGGACAGCTGTTATGAAAAATACATTCTAGAAAATAGTGCCATTTTCCTATGTTTTTATACCATTGATAAAATTAATTTGATTGCAAGAAAACAGCATTCCTCACTGTTAAATGAAGAATACTGATGCTGTGTTGTCCAGTAGAGGTTTTATGATATTTTGGAGCAATTGTGATGAAGTTCTACTTCACTACACAGCATCACATCCCAGAAGACAGCACTATTTATTGTCACTGCCCTGAGAACTTCAAATCTCATGGAGGAGAATTAGATTAATTAATGTATGCCTAACATAACAGTTCTTGTGTATTGGCTCTGTTATTGCCTCAGCAGCATAGAGATATATTATCTTTAATTGTTTAGAAAACCATAAGATTTGCAAAGAAAGTGCATTGGGCATAAAATGTATGTTTTTTTCCTCTACAACTTCTGTTTGAAACATTTTTCACTGTAATAAATATTGGCAGATTGGCATGCAAAAATTTGTGTGAAGTGCTTGTGTTCAATTTTAACCAAAAATTGGATGTGTTGGCAGATTTAAGTAGAACTCCCCAGTGACAAATTTAATAAAGATCTGAGATATATTCTTAAGTTGTTTACATGCAGACAAATATGGTGAAGCTGATAGCATTTTTATGGATTTTCATTGCTGTCACAACAAGTTTTTCCTGGGTATTTCTACAGTTCATTCTGTTTTGCACTCATAAATTTACAAGATTTTGTTGTTATGGGCTTCACCTTTAAGTGTAGAATTATTTTAGCTGCATACATTTTTACTTGGAGCAGGAGGAACCATGTTTGAATCCAGCATTAGAAAATGAACAGGAATGAGAAATTTTGGTGAAATTTAAGATTTTCAAAACATTGGGTATTCTGCTGGAATGTGACTTCATGTAATTTTGTAGGTAGGTATCGGTGTTTGGAGGCACTGACTGCCTCCATCTTCAGGACAGGAGAGAGAAGATGGAGGCAGTGGTGTTTCCTTCAAAACATTAGTATCTGTTTACCAACATACTTGCAATAACAGTCCAGGAGATAGTAATGTAATGATTTTATTGAAACATGCATTTAGTCAGTAGACATAATCAGTGTTGTGGACTTCCTTCTCTGGTATGAGATTTGTAATGTGGTAAATGTGTCCATTTGAAAGTAACTGGAGAAACAAGAGTTGAGATGCACATATTTATGTAACAGTTAAATTGTTAAAATAATGGTATCCATCCCCCCGCCCAATTTGAAGTACAATTTTAGATCTGATGTGGAACATGAATCTACAGAACTGATCTGTGAAAAGAATTTCATAGGCAGTTGTGATAACTTTAACACTCCAAATGATATTAATTTTAGTAAGGTGTTCATATATATGTAATTTGCCAGAATTTAAACAAGACAATAAGTGTACACTTTTTCAATGTTTCATTCTCATTTGGTGTAACTGTAAGTCACTTACTGTAGTACTTGAAGCTGGGATCTGATATTTAATGCTCTGTCAGTATTTTATATACAGGGGATTTCAACACATTGTATGAGACCAAATTTGGTTATTTGACTGGCCCAGAATACTTAAATAAAAGAATGGACCAGGTGAACAGATCCAGACGTGAGATTAATTCTGTACTGTAGATTGGATGTCCCTGAACTGTCTCATAATACCAATTTAGAAGGGTGAGGTAAAACTTTCTTGGTCTTTGTACCATGAAATATAAGTCTAAAAAGTCTGACAACCACTTTTTAATCTCCTCAGTAGAAGTGCTGTGATAAGAGATGCCTTGAACACTGAGTGTGAACCAAAGGTCTTGGAATTATAAGTGCTCAGCTTGATGCCCTAGCCACTTTGCCTCTGAGCAGGTAGCCTCAGTACCTACCAAACAGGATGCTCTGAAAGCCCAAGAACCATTGTGGACAAAATGCTGAAGAGAGTAAGCTCTGTGTCTACCAGGAATTGAAACTCAGTTCTTGCTGGCAGTTTATGGGGCCTTAATCGACCTTGGTACAGCAGGAATTAATACAACAAATTCAGAAGAAAAATTACATTTTAGTAAATACATAGCTTCATATAATTTAGTACTTCTTGTTATTGTTTAAATAACCATACTTTTAATTTGAAAGAATATGTATTAATGGTAGAGAGGTGGCATGCAATATTGAAATTATGTCTCAGATGCAAATGATTGTTTGATTCTTATGATATTTAACAGTGCTATGTCAACTACTTATATGGAATCAGATGAGATGATAAGATGGTTTTGGATGATGAGTAGGTAACAATTTTGAAGAAGGAAATCATGGCCTGTTTCAGGGCACAGCCCGAGTATTTTCTTGGCGAGACTGAAAAAGATCATGATGAAAGTCTCAGTGAGGGAGAGCCTAGTCAACATTCAAGTTAGATACATTCCAAATACAAATCACAGTATCACTGATGCACAAATATGCTAGATTGCTAAGACATGAAAGTCCAGTCCAGCACTCTGTTACTGAGGAGGTTGATTGTCAGAATGTTTCACAAATTACTCACTTGTTATGAACTATAATTCTGAGTTTTATGCCCTGCTGTATTTTGCAAAGAAGGTTCGTAAGTCGTCGCATAACATGGCGGGGAATATCTGGGTCTTGGGTCCAGAACCCGTGATATTTGCCATATGTGACAAAATGAAAAATCTTTCCAGGAGCTGAAGTTCTGTGACCTCTAGTGAGTTCTTTTCCTGATTGTTCCATGAAGAGATTTTCTAAGTGATCAACGTGTAAATTACTTCTTTTCACATTGTCTGAATTTTATGAATGGCCAGTTAGGAATGGTGGGGCTATTAGAATGTTATTTGTAATGTTACTGTCATCATTACAGACAGGTCGCTCACATTGCAAGGATTGTGTTCCTGGAAGCTGAAACTTTTTGCATTTTTGCACTATCCATTACATCAGTGAGAAACAAAAAGTTACAGATCATCGGGAACATTTAATCCTTAAAAAGAGTTTAGAACTACTGTCATTTGTTGAAAACACTTAGATGTCATAATGCCAACTTGCTACAGAGGAAAATGTATATAAATGACTTTGGCATCAGAAGTTGATTAGTGAAGGAAACAGGCAACATAAATCCTCTAATACACATATTCATTTACACCCATGCAGGCATCAAATGTCGTTGGACACTGGCAGGGGGAATGGGGAGACATCTTGTGACATGCTATAGACCAATATATTTGTACTGATGAAAATGAAGTTTGTATAACCACAAGTAAAATTAGGATTAAATTCCATCAGATGCAACAGTGTTTTTAATAATAAAATCAGCCTTTATGCATTTTGGCCGATGCTGGTCATAATCAGAAAGCAATCAACGCTTTAAAGGAAGCGCTTCACATGTATTGGATGCATGTGTTGCCTTGCAAGGGTTAAAATATATATATATATATTTTTTAATTAACAGAATTTTCAATTGAGTGGAATCTTACTGTGAAGCCCAGTGATGGTGATGTTCCTTCACAATAGGTTGTCTGCAAATGTAATAAATTACTCGGTTCTGTATTTGCTCGTGTTTTCATATATACAGTTGTATATTTTATGTATGTATGTGCAAATATGATATGGGAATTTTTGATACTATATTTATTCCTATTATATTAGTCACTAATGATTAACAGTTCTCCTTACCTGTGTCATGTTGGTCCTGTGTGGTGCAGTTGGGGTAGTGATGTTGTATGCAGTGTGTTTTGGTGAACAGATATCCTGTAGTAATATGGATTTTACGAGTGTGTGTTTGTGTCTGCACATGTATTGTATATTATGTCTAATAATATATTGCCATGATTGTTTTCATCAGTTTATTGCTCGTCTATTATTGTATTATTGTGTGTGTTTAGATAAATTGAGATTTTTTTTTATATTCATCATTTGGCCTCTTATAAAGTAGTCGATTTTCTTTGTAATATCCCATGTTGATGTACAAGGGCTATTCAGAAAGTATTCTCGATTTATTTTAGGCAACTAATACAGGAACAGGGGAAAGCTTGCACGTGCCAGGTAGCATCACATGGCCAACATTGGGCTTCACAGCAAGATATTCTACTCAATCAAAAATTCTGTTACTTTTCAAAAAACATATTTTAAATATGTTAACCCTTGCAAGACAGCACACGCATGTAGTACATGTGAAGCATTGCCTTTAAAGTGTCTGTTATCTTCAGATGTTGATCACCATTAGCTGAAACATGTAAAAGCTTTATTTTATTATTAAAAGACATTGTTGCATTTGATGAAATGTAATCCTAATTTTACTTGTGCTATAGGATGCAACAGTTGAGAGCAATGTCTGACATAAAAATTAGTAGAATCACATTCAGTTTTATATAACAGCCTGATATTGATGTTGCCAGATATGTAAGGACAACTTGAAAATAATGTTATTATTTTATTTGTAGAATTTTATTACATGGAGACTTCTTCATTCCAGTATAAAAATGGTACTAAATTTATTTGGGACATTTATAAACAGATCTCAAGATTGTAATGAAACTTGGTAACACCTTAAGTCTGATCACTACATATTTTATTTTGTATTATTTATGTAACTATGTAGTGGCTTGCTGGTTACTGAGAATTGCAGATAATAGATAGTGACTGTGAAAAATTCATAATTGCCATTCATGAAGAATGACATGTGATAAGTTCTTTGTATGTATAATCTGTAAAGAGCTGCTGAGAATAATTCATTCTTTGAATTTTCTCATGCTGTGGCTTATATGCATGTACATATTATTGAATTCTGTTCAGATGTTGTGTTTTCCTTGAAGTATATGAATGTGGAGGAACATGGCTGCAATAGATATTGGTGCACTTGACAATTCAAAGATAGTAACCCCTTTTGCCTTTGTGGGCTTGGCATGTGTTAACTTTTAACCTTCAGAGAAGAGCCCTTGTGTTTCGCAATGTAAAAATTGTTTTCATGGACTGTGACATAATTTATCATGATCTGACACAAATTTTTCTTAATATAAAACATGAGCCAAATGAATCTGCTGCAACACAGAACATGAAAATTACTTCATCTCTCCCATCCCTCCATCACCCTACTTGCCACAGAGTTAATGTTCTATCGGCTGGGGTGCTGATACATTTACTTATCAGTCCCAGGGCCAGAAATATTCTTTTTTATATGTCACGCAGATATTATGGCCTTGTTCTGAAAGAATTCACTGTGCCATTCACTGCACACAGTATTTCACTGTTAAGTCCAAAGAATGACAGAGGAAGTTGGATTCAGCATATGATATGTTTAAATGTTGTATTAATATTGTGACTGGAGCCAGACAATGTGGAAAATGTGGTGGTCGTGTCCCCCTCTTCATATTTTTTGGGAGGTTATGAATACTGTAGGGTGTAAACTCTGTAAACAACAAAGCTTCCATACAAACTTCCATGCATACATTATGATCATGGCTTTCAGTGATACTGGAACAGTGAGTGATCATTTTGTTACCACTGTTAAAATACTTATTGCATAATATTCTTGTAGTTCTCTCAAAGAAACAATATTTTTACAATCACTAGAATTATTTTTCACCTGTCACCTTGGTTATCAGTGCATTTCCCTCTTGCATATATATTGGCAGATGTTTGGTTTGAGCTTTAACAAAGCAATGGTGTACGGTGTGAGATGGCCTCTTAATTTTATTATGTCCCATTTCCAGACTGAAGCATAAGTAAAAGTATAGTTCAACAATATTCCAAAAAGTTGCATGGCACATCTGTAAGATATGGCTGCAATAATTAGATATAATTAGGAGATTCTTTCACTTAACATTTAAATATCTGAGTGAGGAAATATTTATATTACATCCTACATTTGGCACAGTAAGTCAGTAAAACATAGGTATCATTTGCATGTAAGATTGGGAATTTGTTCCACATCATATTTAATTGTGTAATCTGCATAAAATTTATAGTTGTTGTATCTCAATAACATGTCTGGCTATAGATTGGGCAGTTGGAGTATGGTTTTGCTGGGGATTTGCTCTTCATTGCTTCATGTCAGACTACTCTTATTCCTCATGTGGGACTTCTTGTCTGGGGATAAAGATGGTCAAATATGAACCTGACCACCTACCCCCATCTAAAGCCAAGGTACAAAATGCATAAAGCTTTATCTTCATACCCATAGATCACTTCATATTTCATATTTATTTTGCATTCATACTGTTACAACTGCAACACTTGAACAAGTCAACTCACTAGATACATCATTGTTAAAAGCTCTATAATCCTAGAATGTATTAGACTAAAAATAAAAACTGTACTTGCCTTACAACATCACTAAGAATTTTAAAAATATAACAATAACTACTACAATTCCCTTTTCTTCTCTTTTTTTGTTAATTAAAAAAAACCTTGCTATGCTTCCTCATGTTCCTGTTGGAGAAACTCATTCAATGTATAGAAAGGACGATCAAATAAATATAATTTTAATTTATGTTTAAATTCATTACATCGCTTTGACTTTTTAACTCCAAAGGAAGTATATTATATAATTTAATGCCCACATTAATAACACTTTTCTTAAAAACTGATGTGTTACATTGTTGTACATGAAGATCATCTTTCATGTTATGCTTTCTGACTATAGTCAGTTTAGAGATATATGGAAAAGAGAAATTTCAGGTAGTGTAAGAGCAAATGCTGTAATGGTTAGTGTAATCAGATTCAGTATTTGCCAGACACAGCACCAGTGTTATTATAGCCATGCTCCTCTAGCTAACAAAATAAGTAGTACTTATAATTTTAAGGATATACAATAAAAAGATTTATATTGAAAGTTAGATAATTCTGTTAGTGTAACTATTGATATAATATATTTTGCTGATTGTGAAATAAAAAAAACTATAAGCGTGTGCATTCCAATTTTAAATAATGTTGCAAAGTTTCCCTGAAGGAAACATGAAGAATATTTCTTTTGTGTGTATGTATATAAGTATGTCTACATTGTAAATATTTATATGGGGATGGGGTGAAAATTCCTAAATAAGTTTGTACACAATTAAATTTGAAACTGACTGATCTTTGTATATTCAGAAGATCTTGTGTCATAAATTAATGGAGTTGTTATTGGTTACATTATGTTGCTCGCAATTTTTTATATTCTTAAAAATCTCTTTTGCAACTCTGGGTCATTAGTATTATGAGTTTGGTTCCGTAATGTATTAGGCATCCTTGATGTTTGCTTCTGTGTACACACTGCAGAGTGCTGATGACTGCTTTAAATACTGAAAAGGTTGATTTTTTTTTTTCCTATATTTTGAAGAAGAATGGGATATGAATGTAAGAGGCCATGCATAAATATTTTGATTAACATACACCAAATATTCAAACCATCATTGGGCACATGTTTAGAATTATCATCCTCTTTGGTGTTGGGCCTAGTTGAGCTCTCATAAATATTAAAAAAACAATATCGTTGCTTTACTCTTTTAACATATTCCCAAATGCCATCTACTAATATTCTTGGTATTGTATATATAATTTTTGAGGAGGATTACTACTGAATCCTGTTCTTTCAACATATTCATCCTAGTTTATTCTATAGTGTTGTGTAGAATATGTTGTTTTTGAAATTCAGAATTATTTCTTTAATTTCTGGATTTTTATGGCCCTCTGTAACAAATTCTAGCTGATATTATTATTCTGTCATCAGTCCTTATAATTCATGCTTTGCTGCTATGTGATAGTATAACTATTGAAGTGGCTGGCTACAGGCTGGACTACCAGGGTTCAACTCCTGGCAGTGGTAGGACTTTTCTCCTCACATCTGGATGCAGATAAATTCTGAGAACTACCTAGTTTCATATCCAGCAGATGCTGCAGCTCTGTCCTTTGATGGGAGAGGAGTAGAATGGCAGGAGCATGAAGCTTACCACTCATCTCACTGTAATGCTGCTGTAATTCACAAAACTTTACCTTTGTCTCTGCTGCCATTTACTAATGTTGGCCTTTCAGGTACTTCATAACTTAAAATGTTATGTTATGTAATTTTATCTCTCAGTTAGTGTGTACATAGAGAAACAGTCCAAACTTGAACTCTGCGTGGGTGAGCAGAATTGCAATGATATTTACCTAGAATTTAAGTTAGCATGATTATGCTATAAAGAATAGTTTGGTAAAAATGTGTCTTTATGTAGAAGTGTATGAAGTATTATTATCAGATATTATCAGAAAATATTGTGAATTTTGAATGTCCCTTATTTACGGGTGGGTGGGAAATTGTTGTGCAAAATGAATTTCTTTTGTATTTGTAATGTGTAGAGATTACATAAAAATAGACTTTTTTTAAAATAAAGTAAAAAACTGCGTGAATATTGCAGCAGTCTTTTATTTATTATATTTTCTCAGGAAGGCTTTAAAATGCTGTTCCTCTGCCCCTTTGTAAATGAAATCTTAATCCTTTGATTTTTAGGCAGTATCATAATTCCCTTTTATTGCTTCATGAAGACATTGTGATTGATAAATAAATTATGTCTCACATGCCCAGTGCATTGAATATTGTGGTTTAGAATCTTATAAGTTTGTACTCTGAAGGAAGCCAGTGAGGGGAAACAGCCTCATATACACATTACAGTAAATGAACTGTGCATAATTGGTAAACTGAAAATGGTGCTTTTCTCAACAATTTCAGTTCATATTGGACCATTTTTGTCCAAGAAGCTTACAGTGTTTAGCTCCTTATCAATTTAATGCCCTTTCATTACATCACAGTCTTGATTAAAGTGACAGCAGGCTGCCATTTTACCTTTATAAAGTATCTTACTGAGTATAAAACATTATATGAAATTAGGGTGCCTGGGTGATTATAATGGAACTGTACTGAAATGATGAAATTGTTTGTTTCTTATACTGTACACATCTGTCATTATATTTTCATGTTGTAGAAACAAAATGATGCGACACCACACATCTTTTTTCTTGTTTACCTCTATGATATTTCACCATGGTAAGGTGTTTGAATACCAAGTATATCACTTTCTGCATTAAACCATACATGGTTGTCTAAAGACAAAGTGGTAGTGGTCATGAATATGCAATATACTATATGTGGCCCCCAAATGACCAGAAGATACAGCTGATTGGAAAAAAATTGGGTGATACAACTGAGTAGTTATGTATTGCCTAATGTGCTCCTTACTGACACTTGAGCACTATTAGAGCCAAGCCAGACCCTGTGCCATTCTGAAATTTCTGATCACGATCATTTAGCAGGAGTAAAGATTACTCTTTAGATTTCTGACACTCAAAAGTGTTTGATTTTGCTTGCCTTAGGGCAGATATAGCTATTATGATTATTGAATTATTTAAGTGGTACATTAAAATTAAAATAATTATGGAATTGATTACTTGTTTTTGATAAAATTATAATTATAACTTAATAAAATGCTAAGATTGAATATAAAAGTATTAAAATGAAATTAAACACATGATATAGGCAATAAATTCTGGAAATATCACATGACACCTACATTACTCTAAATGCCCTTGCCTACATAGAAAGATGAGCAGGAATTATGAAGTACAGTAAAAGTTGTGATAATCCAGCACCTCTGGGAACAAGGGATTGTTGAATGTGATAATTTTCTGGATAGTAGAGCATAATACTTAGTGTGTTTCTTAGTGTACCTAGAAACCTCGTGGGCAGACCTGTTTCTTAGTGTACCTAGAAACCTCGTGGGCAGACCTAATGATTTAATGTGTCGCTGGATGTCCTGTCCTGTTTTCACTGCTGCACTCATTGTTCTCATTTCATCACTGCTTACTTGATATGGTGCACATTTAATTAAAGAAAAACAGACAAGACACCAATATTTCACTCTTTCAATAATCATATGATTAATCAGTTTATGATTAATGGAGCTTTACAGATAATCCAGTGCTGGATATTGCAGCTCTTACTGTAGTAGTTTCTGTGCATGATGTCCACCAGGATAGATTCTCAGCACAGAAGCTGTTGGACATAATCTCAGAATTTTACAGCATTTCCTTGCATTTTTAACATATCCCTGCCCTTCAGAAGTATTCATAATGTATATATACTTTTATGTTCTGCGTCTACGTGAAAATTCATATTTATGGCTGCAGTTATTCATTAGTTATTGCCATCACAAGAAAAAAATAGACATGCACACTTTTGATGATATTTTATATTCTAAAACCATTATGTTAATTTAAGTTGTATATATTTGAATATCTTTACCACAGAGTATTACAGGACACAGTAGTGTTACTGGTGTTTCTTCCACCTTAGAAATTCACATGGTCACTATGGTGTTGGGAAATTGGGAAGTGTGAATGTGGGGCAGCTTCCAGTGGCATATTGTCCATACCAAATTTTATTGAAATCCCTCATTAATTCAAAAGTTATCAGGTAGCAGGATAGATGGACAGACACACATGTGAACATGGTTATACCATATGCCACCAATGGTACAAAGGCAGTAGTGGTGAGGTTATGATGTCCAAATTTAATATAACTGGAATCTATACAATTTCAGATATGCAATAAACTCCTAGTTATCTTCTATCCCAGCTTCAGGAATTCTAAAATAGCTAGGAAAGATCCAAGAAGGTTTACCATTCTTATAAAGTTGCTTCAGAAAGATAATTGTGATGCGCATATGTTGACCCACCATGCAGTAGTTCTCCCAGACACCATTAGCAATTCTGCCCATATTCTCTTCCTCACACATGTTCCATTACAGTCTTAGTGATATTTCATTACAGTATAGTTGAAGTTGTGATCACATAACAGTATGTTCTAAATCAGTCACTGGACATTTTCCATGTCATCTAAGATAGCTCTCACACAAGAACTACAGCAGGAACATGTTCTTTTTTATTTTGAAACCGAAGATGGATATATTAAAAGACTGGAAAATGTGAAAACTGCATGTAGATTGGGTTCTGTAAGAGTTCTTATGCATCTGATAAACCCCACTTCCCATATGTGCTGGATAAATTGCATATAAATTGAACACTAAATTCTATAATTATAATACTCACTAGCTTCACCGTTCACATAGAAACATTAGAAGGAATCATAAGTTCTTCTCAGAATATCTTGTTCCTTCATTATGTCAGAATTTCTTGTTCCTTCATTATGTCATTATGAATTCTGAGTCTGTTGATCTGTATTCAGATGGTTACTATATTTATGCAGCTGGAGTTCAAAACAATATATTAATTATTCTTCATATTCAGGTATAGTACACATCAACACATGCCTCCTGCAAAAAGGTGAATATTAGTTCCTTTGTTTTATTTTAATGATCTTAATTCGATAGCAAATAAATTGAAGTCATTTTAAGACATGACTTTAACTGGGGTTAAAGTCTCCAATCACATGTACATTTTATCTGTTGTAAGAGACAGTAGTCCAGGTGTAGCTCAGTGGAAAAG